CTTCCAAGTGTGTAGGAGAAACTACAGTGTCCGTTAAACTTGCAAAAAAACACAATGTTTCGTTTGTCCCTTCGGGGCTACTGTAGTAAAACATGGTGGTTCAACATGGCGGACTCCGGAAAAGACGACCCGCAGCATCTGATAAAAACAACACAAAGTTTCTTATTTTCAGATCATAGACTGATAAAAACATACCTATGAATATTATATTCCATTTCTGACTCCTAAATCCTACACACTGGACTTTTAATGCCCCTTCTATTATTTCATGCCTAACTATTAGAGGCATATTTTGAAAAAGGAAGCTGCATTAGGTAACACAGCACAGCAGGATATGCTAGTCAATAGTAAATATTTTATAAATGAGTCAGAAAAGTTTTTTTTTTTTTTTCAGCAAACCCACAATGGCCTGAAGTCAGCTGCTCATTCTAACAGTTTAATAGCAGGCATTGGTCTTCTCACAGTTCACATGACACCAACTTCAGACTCAGCCTTAAAAACCCTTAAAAAAAGCTGTATGTTTGTCTCACAGGCGCACTTTAAGGAATGTACTGTAGATTAGCCTCAGTCAAAGCAGTATGTGTGATAAGTGTGTGAGGTGACTGCTGGACCCGGTTTAGATATAGCATTATATTTTCATTGTTTTTTGCGACATAGTAGGCCATCATTGTGTCCTTTATGTATCACTTTTATTCTAGCTGTTTATTTTTCCATTTAGCTAAAATCATATTTGTAGAAACTGAAAACTATTCAGAAGAATGATACAGAGAAAACCTATAAACCATGTGTAATAGTCTGTAATAATATTGTAGTTATAGCGATATCATAAGAATATCTCCTGTTTCCTTCCATGTCGATGAGATCATAAAAATCTTATCATTAAAATAAGATATCAGAGACATAGAATCCATAATAATATATAATAATATGTGATAAAGTATTGCAAGTCCATTATAAATTCAGAGTTAAAGACCACTGAAGGCAGGCCAGGCAATTTTATTAGCACATTTAATTACAAGTAAACTCAATTGGCTTTACATTCAAATTCATACAATGTAACATGTAGAGCAGAATGTAATAAATCAAATATATTCAGCAATGTATAAATTCAATGACAAAATGCCCACAGACACAACTATTCAAAAGCTTTTCAGTGTTCTTCTGAATGGGGACAGTTACGACTGATCTCAGGTCAGCAGGCCTTTTGTTCCAAAGAACAGGGGCAATAAGTTAACATGGGTTCAAATCTGGATGAGTAGATTGCAGTCAGTGAGCAGGTTGGAAGTGTACAGAGGGGGATCCAAACCATTTAGTGCACTAGGAACCAAGGAAGAGATTTGAGTGCTGCAGTAAAATGTTGGCATGGGGCGAATGCATAAGGACTCTGGCTGCTGCAATAAGAATGTTATGGGAAGATTAAACACATTTTTCATCTATGAGGGCCCAATCACGGCTCTCTGCTCCCAAACAGTAAACACTGCATCTGAAAATCCCCAAACTTCCTGTGGACTTGTTTATGTGTTCCGGCTTAGCACACACACACACACACACACACACACACACCAGTGATAGGAGTAGTTGCCTCTAGCAATATAGGCAACAAGTTTGAGCAGATTTAATGTGGCCGGACGTCCGGGGTTGTTTATGTCATTGTTCACCGCCTGTTTGGCTCTTGGAGAGTTTAGTGACAGACAGAAGAGTCATGGTGAGCATGGGAGCCAGGATGAGTAAGAGCCACAGCACTGGGAGTACGAGTCTGACAAACTGAATGCTCTCAAAATAGGGATATCCTTCCAATCTTTTAGAAGGTTTAACCCAGGCTCTTTTTCATAAAAATCCCAAGATCACAATATGAGTCAGTATAAGGGATGGGACAATATACGACATTAGCATGTATTCCATTATCGTGATAGGGTACAATGATTACAATAAATATGTGTTTCTTTACTAAATGTAAGATAAAGTGATTCCAGTATGCTTTAGTGCTATTTTAACAGTATGAAGTATATTTTCATGATTATCGTGATAATATTGCAATTATTTTGGCCAAGATAGTCGGAATATGAAATGTTCATGTCATCCCATCCCTAGACAGTATATCACATTTCCTCGGTTTCCTTAGGTTTTTTTTGAAAAGGTTCATTCATGTTCAGCACTAATACACTCATATCAAGTTTTATAATTATATGGCAATGCATATGTGGCTTTTTTGATTAGATTTGCACCATCTCTGCTTCATCCCAACTGACAACAAAAGTGTCCAAAGAGGTGGACGGAGAACAGTTTGGAAACTCCTCTCAAACAACATATAGTACAGGAGACACTGATAGTCAAAATGAAGAGTAGAAGAACTTATCAATGCAGCTGATAGCTACAGTATTCTCTCATGTACTTCAGGGTAACCTGTCCCCCTGATTGCGCCACTTGGCAAAGATATTTTTATTACCATACTGCCACCATTTGGCTGATAGTTGGTACTGCCGCAGTGGAGGTTGCTGGTTGTTGCAGATCATGTTGACGTTATTTAATGCATGCAGATGCTGGGGAATGTCCAGTCCTGTTGCTGCTAGGTCTGAGTACAGCTTTCCACACCAGTCTATTCTCCTTAGTTGACATATTTGTCAGACAGGCGTTTTTCTGTCTACCGACCAAGGCCTTCTGGTGGTCCGGAAATCCAGGCTTAAACCCAAAGGTGACTGAGCCTTTGCAGCTGTGGCTCCCATCCTCTGGAACCGCCCTCCCTTTATAAAAAGTGAGTCTGTTGATAGTTTTAAGAAACTGCTAAAAACGCACTTGTTTTGTAAGCACTTTATCCTGCGATGTGTTTTTGCCTTCTTTGTAGTTTTTCTTGTTTTTCATATTGTTATTTCTTGTTTTAACTTTCTAATGTTTGTAATTGTGCAGCTCCTTTTAACTCTGAATTTCAAAGGTGTTTCATTTTAATAAATAAAGTTTACTCACTTTATCTTAATGCAGCTTTCTGGAGTAGATTTCGGGTAGGAAATATGATTATATTATGAATATAACAATTTAAATACAATTTAGATTGAAGTGGAAGATAATCTTGTAGATTTCCAGTGCATTTATCTGATGTCTATTTTTTCAAATTATTTATCAACCTACAGTAGTTAGACTAAACATGTAGACTATCTTTATCTCTATGGGCAATTCATCAGATTGACTACTTTATTCTTTAATTATATATAGCTTTCTCTTTAAATGTATTATTAATGTTTTGTACTGACATACTCTCCTGTATGTATTGTATATAGCTTTAATTACATTTATATTTATTGTGTAGCTTTCTTATTTTTTATTTCCTTTGCTAACTTGGTTGCTATCACTTCTAAATCACATCATATATAACCATAAAATCATGAATGCAGGACTCTTTGATGACAAAGTACTGCATTTGAAGGACGTGTAATAATATATTTTTTCTATGTGGTATTGCTACTTTTTTTGTAATTATTCCTTTTTTTATTATTAGAGAAATCACTGACTGGTGGTCATATTGCTACTTATAAGGAAAACTAAACCAATCTCACACCTACCATATGTTTTCTTACTGTTTAACAAACTGGAAAATGAAGCATTAATCATCTCATACAGGCACATATTGACATGAACACACACATTTACAGCCCCACTTCAATGCCTCTCCAATTACTCCAAGCCTTACTCTCAGCTATAAAAGGCTTACTCAGCAGGTGTATAAAGTAAGGTAAAGGAAACAGATAAGATATGCAAATCCACAGTGTTACTGTAGTTACTGTAATGTCCTCGCAGGTCACGTGGCAGTAACTTTAGACTTCACTGGAAAAACAGAAACTAAGTTGAGGTGTTCAGTAGATGAGACTCGGGCTCCACTCGGACACGCTCGGAAATGGTGGGCGTGTCTCGACTGTGGTGCGTCTCAACCGGCGGTACAATCGGATGATCCCGGGCGGGCGGAGCCAAGTAGGAGGAAATGGTACCGTTGGCTGACTGCTCTCAAGAAAACCGGCGACGAGCATCCATACCCGGCAGTTTGACAGTACGTCTTCACTGCTTTCAGCTCACCGTTACCGCAACAGCCGTCAAGCAAGATACGTCTCTGAGGCAAACCTTGAGTCGTTCACATAAACACAGCAACATTAAGCTACTTAGAAACCAAAGCAACACTTGTATGCTGCAATTTGTGCCAATATCCGTGAAGGGCTCGGAGATTAGCGGTACCTATAAACGGCTGCAGGATGGAGACGCAGATACATGTGCCCGTGGGCTCGCCGGTCATCAGAAAAATTCCCATTTTCGTGGACGAACACAGCGTGACGGAGGGGGCGATGAAGCTCATTAAAGAGCTGAGACCGGCGTGGGACGCGAGCCTTGTCAAGACCAAGGTAACGTTAGCCGCTAAGCTAGCCGTGCCGTGCCGTGCTAGGCTAGGCTAAGATTGGCAGCTCTGCAGCATCACCGGGAACTAATGTTAGCTACCAGCGGGAGGAGGGCCGGGGATACGTTAACGGTATCTACCGGCGAGGTTCACCTCTTTTAACAGACGACACACCGGTGGCGACGTTATTCTCTGAATTGTTGATTAAACGAGCTGTTGTGTTTGATATCCTGAAGCAGTTTTATTACAATTATATGATAACGTTAACTTAGCTAGCAAGACGCTCTCAGACCTGAACTCTAACTAAGCTAAGTTAGCAAAGTAACGTCAGGAGAGTTACCGGCAATATTCCGGTTACAGAGAGCTTTACATGAGCAACGTACGCAACATGTAAATATAGCAGGAGAGCCCAGTCATCTTAGTGTGAGTGACGTGATGGAGAGTTTGGTTGAGAAATATGGTGACTGATAATTTGCT